AATAATATAGAGAAAAGATTAAATCTATATGCTAAAAAATCAAACTCTTTGAAGACAACAATAGATAAATCTTTAAATAGTTAGAATACTATTATTATCTAAATAAACTTCTTTGTATAGATAATTGGAGTAATTCTTTAGCAAATTTTCTTTACCAGGAATTAGGTATCTGAAAAGAAAATAAAATATTTAAAGTTACTTAATAAACTTTTGAATTATATAATACTTAAGAAATTTGAAATATTTTTCAAGCAAAACATATTAGCTATAAGGTGTTAACTTGAATGTATGAGTTTGACTTTAAATTATTTATGCAAGAAATATATAGAATTTTAATAATAGAATTTGAAGATTCTTCTATTCCTAAGAAATTTTAATTTGTAGAAACTTATCTTTAAAAAGAAGATTATATCATGCTTATAATTTTCTATTTTTTTATTTTTCTTTTATTTTATTTTTAATTTTATTATTTAATTTAGTTTTTATATAGTATATTTATTTTGTTTAGTTTTTGTATTTGTTACTTCTACAGAGTGCTAATAGTAGTAGAGATAAATTTTATTATTTGTTTAGTATAGTATTTTGTTATAGTTTTATTAGTAATAGTTTTTGTATAATATTTAGTCATAGTTTTTGTATATGTTATAAAGAAAATTGCAAAATAGTCTAGAAAGTTATAAAATATTTCAGAATGTTCTGAAATATACTTGTCCTAATATTTATATTAACTGTTACTATAGTTTTTAAACATAAACAAGAGACAAGAATATAAATAATAACTATTTATAGATAAGAAATAAATATAAAACAAATAATAATAAAATAATAATGAAATAATAAAAAAAAAATAGATAATAAAAAAAAATAAAAAGAAACATAATATGAATAGAGTATCAACTTACAACCTAACAATATGTCTGATAATAATATTGACTGTCTATAGGCTATCTAAAATAATATCGACAGTCTAAAATAATATCAGTTGTCTAGATAGTAAGCTAAATATATTTATTGAGTATGTAGAATTCTTTAGTTAAATAAAGTATTTTATAGCAGAGCTAAAACAACATATAGTAAATATTAGTTATGCAGTAAATGTCATTTTTGATTCACAGTACAGTCTAATCTCTTTATAGTTATACTTTTGGTTCCAAGAAATTCTGTGTTTAAAAAAAATTGTACCTGTATAAAAGTCAAATTTCTTATATTTTATATAAGTTTGTTCTAAAAATTAGTGTGCTTATAAAGAGAGTATGACTCTATAAAGAGTGACTGTATAGAGAGCAGACTGTATATTCAAATTTATTAACTAAGAAAGTAATTTAATACATATTGATTATATAAATATTACAATGCAATTGCTCATCTTTTAAAAATTGTAAAAATAAGCTCTTTTAATACAGGACTCAATATTAATCCAAACTCTATTTTATCCAAAAAAAATTTATGTAATGTAATAGAAATAAAAACATTGTATAATTTATTGTTATTCTAATTTGGTCAAATAATAAAATATAAATTTCCAAAAATTTTCTAAGTATACAAAACTTAAAAGTCAAAATTTGAATTTGATGCTTTTAGCTTGTACACACTATAAAGTATGAGAATACTTTATATAACGAATCTATCATCTATATATTATGATAATTTACTTTTACATGGAATATTTTCAAATTAAAAATTCTAATATCCATATATAACACGAAATATATTCATTGTCAGACATACAACCATTACTAAACACCCGTAAACCGCTAAAAATACAGAAAGTATTTTTCTAGTATCCCATGAAGAATCTTCATGAAGTTTGTAATAAAATATACCAGGAAGAATGAATGAAACAGCAGTTGAACCTGTCGACCCGACGAAAGAAAGTACCTAATAGTTTATCAAATATTATTATAAATTATTTAATAAAAGCAGTAGAGAATTTATTAAACTTACCAAATCTAATTTTGAAACTAGTATAGATATTATATAACTACTAAACAGAATCGCAACAGTTAAAAATATATATCTGGCTTCCGAATAAGGACGTGGGGATTTTGAAGATAATGATTGTAGAAAAAAGAAAGACTTTTCTAAACAAAAACGTGCGGGATGAGCTTGTAGTGGATAGGAGAAAACTACCAAGATGACAATTGCCGCTCGACCAATCGTAACGATAGTACTTGCGTTATCTGAAATATAAGAGATAAAATTTATATATTAAAAGAGGAATCATGATATATGTCATAAAGGTAATACGTACACATTGCAATGATATTGGGTAGAACATCGTCACCAAAACTTAAGTACCCTAGTATTCCAATAATCTGATAAATTATAGAAGAAGTCCCGATGGAACCATTAATTACTGTATTAATTCTGGATTGATTATTGTCTCTCAATTCATTATATATTGAAAAAACCTATATAATTAATAAAAAAGGTCAAAATAATAATTGAAGAAATTATAAGAATAGGAAATAAAAAGTTACATACATTTTGGTGGCAGGTGAAAGAGAATACGAAAATTGGTAAATGAGTTAAAAATTTTCCAGAAAAATTGATATAATGAATCTTGTCCTTAGGAGGAGCTTTAAAGTCAGGACCAACATAGTAGTAAATGACAATAAACACTAAGTAGACCACAGATATTAAAGCTATAAAACTTGTGTATCTTAAAGAGTCCAATTTTTTCAAGAACGCTAAAGGTATTATTACAATCATGAACGCAGTTATCCAAAATCTTCGATCCAGAAATAAGGAATTTGAATCGATATAGCCACTTCCAAGTATTGCAATTACAACCTGAGGCATTAAATCACCAATAATAATGAGATATGAAATAGATACACCAAAGCATTTGATAGCAATTGCGATATCGAAAAATAAAGCAGCCTTAGGGTAGGTTAATTGTGACACGGCAAAGAATGAAGAATTGCGCCCCTTAGTTTGAGCAGCAGCACGTGATAGGAAATACAATCCAAGGCCGGAGGTGAAAGCAGCATAGAAAATCAACATACTGCCCATTATAAGACCGACAGAAGCTATAGCAGCCGGCTGTAACCATATTCATAATAATCATAAATATGAAAAAAAAAAAAAAACAAGAAACATCAAGAGAAAAATAAAATGGAAGAGTTACCATTGCCAGCATCCCAGTTCCGAGAATAGTATTAGCAAGATTAACCTATAAATTAAATGACGTTAACCTTTATCACTTTTTTCACGTTTGCAAGGTAAAACCAACCTATACCATAATAGCGCGGTATAATATAGTTTATTTAATCTACTGCCCAACATACCGCACAAGAAATGCGACTAGCACTTCCTTGGCTAACGCTAACTTGATCTTCATTTTCAATGATAATATCGTTTCCACCAAGAAGAGGAGTTCGGTCAGTTGGCTCAACTAGTGGAAGTACCTCGTTATTTGGGGCTTCAGGTATGATCTCGTCGTCGACGTTAATTGCAGCCATTTACGCAACAACGATTTTTTTTTTTTAGATTATAATATCTAATTTTTTTACTGGGATATTTTGCTGTATCAATTAATGCATTAATAAATTTATTCAAGTTTATTTTATTGATAAAAAAACTAGCAACAAGAAAAAACATTCCGATATTTTAACTGAATAACAGAGTACCAGCCGGAATCGAACCTGTAATTCATCCTTAATTATTGATCATGTGAAGTATCAAACTGTCCTAATATTTTTATATAATAAGTAACATAGTGCCTTTTTTCCCAAGTAGGATATACCAATAAATTTAATATATTATTCACATGACAACATTGCTCGAAGTGAAGCTAGTTTACCGCACCCTAAAAAATTTGCCGAAGTCTATTCGGCCGAATTCGATAAGTTATTGATTAGTGCATAAAAAAAAATTTTGTGTTACTGTTACAGCACATTCGCATTCAACACCTTTATTAAATTTTCTCTTAATGCTTGTCCAATATGCTTTGTACAAAATTTATGCCAAAGATCTTGCCAATTCATAAGTTGATAAACATATAAACAATTTTGAGTACGTACAAATAAAAACAAATTTTCTACTTCAATTTCGTTTTTAATTTACAGCAAAACTTTTTATTGAATATATTATCTATTCAAATAAAATAAAAATTTTTTTGAAAAATTGTCAAAATTGACCTTTTTAATGCGTAACACCCCGTATTACACGAGTGCGCTAACAAAAAAAAAAAAAAAAAAGGTTAAATACGATTAAGTGCTTGTCAACTGGTTCGAAAAAAAAAAAAATGTAACACACAAGTTGAAATAAGAGGTCAAGATTTTATTAATGTCTTAATAATTATAATAAAGTTCAAAGTAAAGTATTTAAAAATTATTTGAAAATTCGACCCACAGAAGATCTTCCAACACTCAAGTGTTTAGCAATTACTCAACTGACGAATTAGACATTGATTTGTAATGGTACATATGCATTATTTTATTTGAGTGCCGCCAAGGGAAAACCACAGATTGAGATTTCAATTATATTTCGTACCACACAATCTATTTAATTTATTAGGGACTGTGTCCGGTACAAAATATAATTGAAATCACGATTTGTAGTTTCCCTTGGCGGTGTTACGATCGGGGGAGAGCTTTAAACAAATAACGCCGAATTTAGCTTCGATCGTGAACAAGATTAATGGACACGGGATATTACGTTAAGTATGATAATTTATAGGTTTGGAGTTTCACTGCAATTGGAACTAATTTCACTTTTATTAAAGAACGTTATATGTTTCGCTTAAAAGGTCTTTATTATATTCGTAAGGAAATTTAATACATGAGATTATGAATCTTATTTTTCTTTGTGACCCAAAACCCACTCCTTGTAACCTTAAAATTTACTTGGGGTTTTAAACCCTCGTTTGGGGTTTTAAACCTCATCTTGGGGTTAGTAACCTCACTAGGGGTTTTTAACCCTCGTTCGGGGTTTATAACCCCATATCATGCATCTGGTTTTGCCTTAATATCAGATATGTTAATCCTTACTAACGCTAAATCGAATACATATCAATAAAAATAAAATGTCTACGTATACGTACTAAATAAAAATGAAAAAAAAAAAAAAAATAGAATATAAAATAAAATAAATAAATTTCAAAAGTACGTATTTAGCGTAACAGCGGCACTCATTTATATATGTTGTGTAATACTGAGATAAATAACTTATCGAATTTGGCCGAATAGACTTCGGCAAGTTTTTTTAGGGTGTCTCAGAATTTATGAAAACAGCTGTAATATTAATAACTAGATTTAGATATCGATATCATAATAATAAGTTATCAAGATCAAGATTTTAACTTGATTATCAAGAGTAAAATCAAAGAATATATTAAAAATTTCGTAACGTAAGGAAAAATATCAATTTTTTGTGCTATTATGTGATAGTTTAGTACCGATTCTGTGCTTAAAGTTTGACATTTATATGAAGCAACTACTTTACAAAAATCTTACATTTTTGCGAAAGCATCAAAATATTCTAGATTTGGTGTAAATGATTAATAATATAGGTCGCTAAAATTAGCCATTTTTCCGAAATCATTCTGCTACCATTTTTTTTTTTATAGATTAAATTCAGATTTAAAATATTTAATTTTTAATTATTTTCAAAGCAAATTAGTCTAGAATACAGATTAAAGATCGGATTAAATATGTACTTTAATTATCATTATTTGAACACAATAAAGTATTAAAACTTGAGAAGTGATTTGAATTGCTTTGTAATTGATGGTTTTTGAAGAAATTCCTATGAGAATGAAAAAAACATGTTATAATAATAAATCAACAATTATGTTTTTCTTATACTGATACACAACCTTTGCTGCACTCTCCATGGTTTTATGGAAATATGAAGTAGTTTTTTCAATTTCTTCATGTAATCTAGTTATCTCAGATTGATGTACTGTTTCTGATGGAAAAAGTGATAAAATGTAAGAAATCAAGAGTACATTTCAAGAAAAAGATGAGATCTTTTCCACATAAATCATAGTCAGAAGGGTCGTTTTGTTAGTAAAGATCACAGATATTATGGAAAGTTTAAACATACGGATTTGCATAATATCTTTTTCAAAGTCCTTTCGTGCACGCATGCTTTGAGAGTGGTTTTTATCGAGCGCTTCGAGTAAATCGGTCATTATTAACTAATAAGATAAAATGAATTAATGTTTAATGTAATACAAAAATTTTAAGCATAAAAGTAAAACAAACTTGATATTTTTCAAAACCCAAACGGAGTTTCCTTAAACAATTTCGTTTTTCTTCAGCATACTCATCCATCCTGTGCTTATATTCTGACGCGACTTTGGTTCTTTATATATATTTTTTTTTCAAGAGATTATTAAATAAAATTATATTTATATTATATAATAAATTACATTGCTCACGTGATATTGTCTTCTTTCACAATATAATTTTCAAGTGTATTAGTTACAGTTATTTTGCTTAATTCGAATCGTTTATCCATCGATTTGGAAATTTGAATTTCACGTTTTTTAAGGGATGCTTTAAATTTTTAAATTTGAATTTTATATTTAGATTACGATAAAATGATATAAAAAATAATATATTACAGTATATAAATACCTGCAAGAGCCACCATAATTTCTTTATGGTTTAATTCACTAAAATTGAAATAACATTTAAGAATTATGAAAATCATGTTTATGATGAAAAGCATACTTGTCCAGGTATGGTTCTTGATCATCATTTGATGTATAGTTTTGTTCTCGAGGGTAATTAGTAGCCTTCAACTTAGACCCTTTTGGTTGGTAAATTTCAACGTGGTCAGAGTTCATGATACGTCTGTCGACATGTTTCGTAGGACTATGTAATCTAATACGTGATACTTAAATAAATTATACAGCTTAAGCGTCTTATTTTTATCCGTTTGAAGTTTAAAATTATCGTAACTGTTAATAAAATTTTTTAGTGAATAAACCTTTTGAACTACGAGGAATTACACGTGAGGTATTTTTGGCAACTTTTGTTTTGCCATTTGTCTTTGAGATAACGTCGATGTTTGGCTTTTTTTTTACAATAGAAGATGAAGATTTTGCCCAGCGAGTTGTCATTTTCATTTTGTTTTTAGTAATAACAAGATACAATTTATGTTGAGGTATAACTTATATATATTTGTTTACAATTATAGAAATCACTGTCAGAATCAATAAAATATTCAATAAACATTATGCAAATTAGTTTTATTATTAACTATTAAATATCTATAGTATTTAACTCTGAACATTTAATTTTATTGATGATAACATCAGTCTTTTATATATATATATGCAATAACTTATATATCGTCCTGCATCATATTTCCAGTTAATACAACTTTTTCCCCAGGTGCAAATGCAGGCATTCCAATATATGGGCAGGTCGAACAACGAAAAGCATCACCAAGGTAGCACTAAACCATGTAAAGTAATTAAATCTAGGTTATTAAATAAAAAAATTCCGAAATAGATAAAAGAAAATTATTACATACACTTCCACAAGATGATTTGAATTGTTGAGTTTGTTGTGCTGCAAGTTCCTTCTCTTTTTCCAGTTCTTCTGCAAGACCACATGAACAACTTTTGCAAGCTTTTCGTTTTCCACTAGTTTCACAATCAGGTCCTATTCAGGAAAATATAATTATTATTATTATAGAATAATTCAATATACTTAGTCATATTTATCATACTTACTAATCAATGTGCTTTTGTCAGGCTTGATCATATCTTCTTCTTCCAATAACTCGTCTTCATTTTCTAATTCATCATCGTCACCAGTAAGTGTCCATATAGCCGTTTTGTTTGCTATGACATTATCACCTATTTTAAGGTAATATGTCAGTATATGACAATTAAAAAAAAAAAAAAAAAAATGAATAAATACCTTTAGAAGCCTTATTGGCAAAAGGCAACGCAAAAGTTGCGCCTACTTCATAAGTAGGTTTTTTTGCAATTATCTTGATCACATTTAACTGACCATTAAGTGCTTGAACTAGTTCCTGTCGTCTAGTTTGATCATTAATACCATGATTACTCAAAGCATGTTCAATAATCTTTTCCAATTCAGCCATTTCAACTTTTTCTGCTCCTTGGATTTCTAAGTCTACGAATCCTGCCATTTTAAGTTCACTAACTAATTCTTGGGTAGTACGTAACGGAATTTCGACATAAGATTGTGATGTAAGAGTAGTAAGTTCTTTGAGACATAAGACACCGCCTGGTGCCAATTTTGTGAGTAAACTTGTGAATGTTGCAGTGGAACTAGTTAAACACAATGAGTCAAAATGGTTCAAGTAGGTGCACATAGTGTCTAAATTATTTTGCCTTGGCGAAAATTCAAATAGCTAAAATTATTTTCGACGAAGTGTCTTAACAGTCAGTCGCAGATTAGTCAGATTAGTGGGGAGATTTTTTTACTACGTATGAAATTTGAGTGATCGACATCTATACCGTATTCCTCCGACATGTATACCCGGGATATTCCCCTAGCTCATGTGATCGATTTGGTCAAAAATACCGATTTACCTATGAGCGGCCAATCAGAATGCAATATTTGGTGTAATGTCATATAACGTGATCAGTAACTAGTAACTAGGGTTCTGCAACCTGGGCAGTGCCTGTGCCCAAAAAAAATCTAGGCACAAAAATTAAAAAAAAACTTAGATATAGGTATAAGCACAGATATTAAAATTTTGGCATGGGTATAGGTACAGGCGCAAAAATTTGGCATAGGTATTGACATAGACACAAAATTTAGTATAGGCATAGGCACAGATATGGGTCTATTAGGCACAGGCATGAGCAAAGGAATAAGTATAGGTATAGGTACAGATATAGGTCTATTAGGCACAGACATGGGCAAAGGAATAAGCATAGGCATAGGCATGGGTATGAGCAAGGCATAAGTCATCGGGTACTATAAATCAGCTAATCATATTTCAAAAAGTGAACAGATAAATAAAATTTTCAATAGTATAGAAGATAATACCGACAGTCTATAATAATATTGGCAGCCAATAATAACATAAGCAACAATAATAACATAGGCAGTCTATACTAATACTGTAATATAGGCAATCAAAAAAAATTCAGTACATGACGTTTTGAAACACCATGGCGAAAATATCTAAAAAATTTCACCAGACCATCTGTCGAAAATTAACTCTAATTTCAACTCCCATGTATAGGAATAGATATAGGCATAAGCATAGGTACGAACATAATTAAAGAGTAATAATAGTTAAATAAGTTATTAACATCTTAATATTTAAATAAATAATTTAGCAAATATAGATGTTTATTCTTTGTTACAGTGAATTTAGTGAATTTATTCGATTAAACAATTATTCCTATAAAATTTCAAGATACAGCATTAAAATTAAAGTTAATAACTTTAGTAATATTAGTATGTAAGCTATAAAATAAAAGCTTATAAAAATTTATGATATTATTATAGCGAGTTTAACTTTTTGAAAATTTACGATATTTGACTTATAATAAACTAATTATCAACAAGGGGTATATATGAGCAATGAGGTTCAATAATCTAGTTATGATAGAGTTGTAATAGTTTAATCAGAAGGGGGGAAAATGTAAGAGCGGATCAGGAATAATTTAATTTAAATAAAAATGATGTTCTCTTAAGAATAAAAATCTTAAATTTTCTTTGTTTTTCACGAAATTAACAGCACAATAATTACAATAATTGAAAGGTGAGTATTAATAAGATTTTATACCAAATTTACCAAATTTTTTTTTTATTAGTAGAGAGCCGATATTTGAAATTATTTGAAAAATGAGAGTAAGTAGAATTGGCTAAGTAAGACGCCCTTTTGCTATGATGCCATTACGAACTTCTTTAATTGGTAGAGGTCTATTGATTCTGTACGATGAATCGGTTATGCGCCTATCTTTATTATAAAGGTCTGCTGATTCTCGAAGAGGAATTAGTTATGTTACTTTATTTAATTAAAGAAGTTAGGTTTCTTAAGCTGGACTTGTTAAGTGCATAGGCATTGATGCAAACCGCCGTTGCCCCAATTGTCATAGTCTTAATAGAAAGCTTTTGTAAACTGTGTACTAGTTACATCTATCATAAGGCTATCTTACATTAGTTTTACTTTATTTTGCTTATTATTGAATATTTTTTCTTACTTAAATTTTCTTTTATTAGTGCGATATATATTAGAGAGAAGATCCGAAAACCGATCCTGAAAATAGAGTAAGTAGAATTACTGCATTGTGATGAAGAATTCACTTGATCAGCTAAATTATCTTTTACTAATTAAATTTGAAGAATTAAATTATATAAAAATAAAAAAAAAAGACACGAAAGAAAAGTAAATAAAGAAAACATATTATATAATTTATTAAATTAAATATTTTTTATGTAGTATTAAAATTTATTCTTTTATGTATTAGAAACTTTTTATGAATTAGAAGCTTTATTATTTTTAACTTTCATCACAATTGTGTTAATCAATCGTTTTTTTTTTTTTTTTTTTTTAATAATCAATAATTTACAATAACAATTATAATAATTCAAGTAAGATAACATCAAAACCATCAATCTATAACTTTTTAAAAAGTACGTTTTAAAAAATTGAATCGCTAAAACAAATTTGGAGAATAAACTTTTTAAGGATCAAAATTGTTACAATTTTATTATAAATAAGTTTACATAAATTTTTTTACACCCAAGACCAAAGGGTAATTTAATTTTAAACAAAACTTTATTGAATAGCAGACCAGTATTTTTTTTCAAAGTACAATATTACATTTTAAGGACTGTTGTATACAATAAAGAAACGTGCACTGTCCAATTTTATAAAATTTCCCATAGTTACATTTACAATATGTTACATTACTCAATAATAATATGTAGTTGGTCGATATCAATCGTAAAAAATAAATTAGGAGAACTTCGTGACGTGATATTTACTGGTTTATAAGGTACAATTTTAGTTTGATTATTAATTGTAGAATTTTCCAAAGTGGATGCATTATTATTATTCTTATTTTTCACAAAAACAAATGATAAATTATTATGATTATTATTAGAACAAGTTGAAATTTTAATTTCATTGACTTTGTTAATTAATTCTCTACCAGCATCAATATTTTTCTTTATTGTGTATCCTCCTTTTATTTGAAGTTTTCCATAATAAATCATTGCTTCAAGATTTCTAGCATCCACAGATTTTTTTAACATTTCTGCACCAATATTCATTCGATTATCTTTATGACGTTTAAAAGAATATCCTGAAAATAATAATTTAGCGTATAAAAATTGAGCATCTGAATGTCCTTGTTCAGCAGCTTCTGATAAATATTTTACACTATTTTTATAGTTTTGTTTTACACCATCAAAACCTTTGTAATAGTATAATCCAATCCAATAGTTTGCGATAAGATTATTGTCACGTTTAGAATACGTCTTTAAAAAGCTAAATACTTTTTGGTATTTTCTTTTATTGTGAAATGAGATAGCATTATCCAAGGTTGAAGAGGGGATTTTATTTAATGGCGAAAGTTTATGTAATAATTTAGTTGGTGATTCAATAATAGATTCAACAGAAGTCGTTGTTTCAGGTCCTGTACATGTCTTTTGTGTAGAAGTGGCAGCAGAAAAAATGTGATCTTGTAATAAAGATATAGTCGATACGGAACAAATAGATGAAGCACGAGAAGAAGTCATATCATTAAATTTTGGTTCAGAATATTTTTCATGGTTCAATGAATTCGTGGTAAAATCAGGGATAAAAATAGTAGAATCATCGTTTGATTCAAGTTCAAATATATTCAAATCGTCAGTTAAAGAAGAAGTTTCAATCACTCTTTTCTCAAATTTCATATCAAAATCATTAGTGAAGGAAGAAGTTTTAGTCACTATCTTAATATCTCTATCATTCTTAAAATCAGATTCTAAAATTTTAAGAACCTTAAAAGCTTCTTCCATTGTTGGACGGTCATCAAGTTTTTGGCCTATCCTTTTATCATTAGATCTCGATAAATGATTGGAGTTCCTGCAATTGATTCTGGCTTAGGACGTTTATTAGGTTCTACCACAAAATCCCGAAAACCATTTTCCCGAAAGAGCATAATACCGACTAAATTGGCCAACATTATAACTAATGCCGGCTAACCTTGTCGGTATTAGGTCCTTTCGGGAATATGTCCTTCGGGATTTTGTGGTAAAACCCATTCTTTAGATAATTCTTGAATATACCCAATTTCTCTATTAATTTCACGTTCTTTATGCCCTCCTTCAATATAAATTCCTCTAATAATTCTGGCGACATGTACATTTTCTTTTTTATAATAAACTTTTTCACCATATTCATTTTCTATTCCCGAATACATAAAATCTTCATTGCACAAGGCGTGTAGATTATTATTAGGTTTTGTCGAGAAATTTTAAGTTTGTTTGCGGTATTTACGGAATCATCTAGTTTTTCGGTAATTAAAGTTTGTGAATTACTTGAAGGTTTTGGAATTTGAGGTTTTACGATTAAATTGAAGAGACTTCTAGAAGGAAAGAAAGTAGGAATCGTTGGAGTTTTTGGATTTTTGATCAAGTTAAATTTAGGAGAACAATTTTGAGTTTTTTGAGTTTGATCTTTTGAAGCACCGGATGTACCGCAATTGTAGAAGCATTTCGCGGAATAAGGAGAAAATGGAGACAACATCTCGATTATTTTAATTGATGAGATATTACTCGGTCAACGAATGTCAAAATGATTGGAAATGAATTTTTTTTTTTGTTTTAGAGATGATTTCGATCAACGAATGCCAAAATAATTATAGAGCAAAAAAGGAGAAATTAAAGTAGAGCACGTATCTAAAACGGGGATCTCGAATAACTGGATTGAGATGAAGATTTGGCCCAGGCGCTTGTCTACATCCTTTTATACTATTTCAACATTTAATGCGTCGTTACATTTTAACTCGCAACACTTACCACCTGAATAAGTGTTTTCAGTATGTATAATTCATGTATTTTTGGATGTTACCGATAGTCTGGGTCAAATTTCTTTTTATGGATACAATCATGTTTTAAAAAAATCTAACAGTATTTTTATAAATGAATTAGGCTTATTTAACATACGACAGTCTGTTCGATCATATTCAATGTTACTCAAGTGCATTCATTAATGCTTCGAATGAAACAAAGATGACTTAAGAAAATTAAAATTCGGATATTGTAACACATGAATTCCTAGTGTTAGAGAATTTGAACAAAACTATGAAAAATTTGTTTAACTATTGTATTTAAGATTTACTGATTACTTTTTTTAATTGGTGTTAACGTTATGTATTCTAATTACAATTGTGTATAAATTAACAGCCCTAGCGTTACCAATCTAAAAAATTTCGCTATCTGGTCGAATTAAAATTCAAGATCAGGTGTAACACAAAATCAAATCAAAATAAACCCAAACCCTAACCCTAATGCCAGTAACGAAATTTTTTTAGGTTGGTAACGCTAGGGTGCTATATAAATCAGGAAAAATTCACTATTTTTTTTTTTTCCTAAGCTATTGACAGTAGATCTATTAGAAACACATTATCGTTATCGTCATACGTATCATTTATAAAAAGTGGCGTTCCTTTAATATGTCTGTTTTTACGTTGTTTCCACAAGAAACCAACGCCGTTGAGAAAAAAAAGCACACAAAGTGATAGCAAGTAATTTTTGCGATTCATTGAAGCGACGACGGGTTATCATTGTCGATTGAGCAAGTTCATCGTGATGAAAGAATTCTCAGTGTGTAAACTACTAAGGTAGCTGAGTAAAAGTTAATTAAGATCAGACCAACCAATTTGATTCTCCAAAATCTAGAGGGGGGACTGCATATGATTGGCTAAAATATTAATGATAAAAAATTTAAAAGTTCGTTAAAGTTAAGGTTAGAGCCAAGGTCAGGTGTTATCAGGATTACTAGTAAAATCTCGCAAGGAAAACTTTTTGTTAGAGCACCAAAAATGGTTTCCTATGCAGATTTTTGAGTTATAAGCGATTTTTGGCAAAACGAACGTTTGTTTTGAATTTTTCTGATCGTGTTACGTTACACGTGAACCTGATCTTGAAATCTGATTTACAATATAAATAACTTAATCCTATTTAAATTTGTTTGTTTGTTTATTTGTTTTATTACCGTATCATATCTTAATTTTTCTATCATTATTTTGTTTTTCAACTTTAAATAATTATTTAGCGGTGTGGGCTGTGCTTGCCGGGTAGGCTATTAGCGTTGCTGCATAAAGCATTTTTATTTGCTTTTTTGCATGTATCGCCTTAGGCTCTTCA